TTTCCTGTCACTGCGTTCTAATAAAAAGCCCTAAAATGATCCCAAAAAACAAACAGGCTGCCTGGGGGAGACTTGTTGCCATAGACCACAGTGTCATATTTTTAAGAATAAAGAGCCTAAATGGCAATCTGTGTTTTTTCTCAAAGCAATATTGATCGTCGTGACGTCACCCCACTCCCACTGACGGCTCTGCATTGTTTATCAACAACTTTATTTTAGGTTGCTGTGTGTAGAGTGTGTGTGTGTGTGTGTGTGTGTGTGTGTGTGTGTGTGTGTGTGTGTGTGTGTGTGTGTGTGTGTTGTGTGTGTGTGTGTGTGTGTGTGTGTGTGTGTGTGTGTGTGTGTGTGTGTGTGTGTGTGTGTGTGTGTGTGTGTGTGTGTGTGTGTGTGTGTGTGTGTGTGTGTGTGTGTGTGTGTGTGTGTGTGTGTGTGTGTGTGTGTGTGTGTGTTGTGTGTGTGTGTGTGTGTGTGTGTGTGTGTGTGTGTGTGTGTGTGTGTGTGTGTGTGTGTGTGTGTGTGTGTGTGCAGGGCCACATGACGTATAGCAAATACCTTGATATCTATATTGTGACGATAGGGTTGGTGCTTTAACTTTACCCAATGACAATTTTGATAAATTACCCATACATGTAATTATGTGGATTTAATGGCTAAGTGAGTAATTTCAAACAGTTTAAGAGCAAGAACAGCCTTGTAAGTTCAGAAAAATGCATTAATTGACTGTAATGCAGCCTTAAAACCAGGAAAAGACAAAATCGAAGAAGATATTGAATCTCATATAAAGACTCAATCCCCATCGCCAAGTACGCAGGTAGTTCAACAATATCATCCGCTCTGTTTCACACATTCAAGCTGCATCTATATAATAAAAGCACACAAAAAACTGCTAACGTGTATGTATGTGTGAATTGCATATATAGTTGTTGTGTTTGAAACAAGCATTCGGAAGCTAACATATCCTCAGTGTTTGAGTCAGATTTCAATGCAGTGGATGTCAGTGGTGACTCAGGCGGAGGGTGAGTGTTTAGCTCTAAGGGAGAGACACGCCATCTGTTGCAGGGATCAAACCTGTAGCTCTGCAGCTCTGCCCTCTCTGCTGAACTTCTCTATCTCCCATTGCAGTGTTTATGTGACCCCGCTTTGTGAAATGCTAATCTTATTGATCCTGTATGCAGTGAATAGGATGGGGGTGTCTGAGCGGGATGCTCTACTTCAACTCAAATCTGTATAGTTCACATTCACATTATTTCCCAGGAGTGGTACTAGAGTTTTATCGGCTTGCATTCTGATAAGGGAACAACTTGTCAAATTCAATTGTTGTGTGTAGATAGCAGTTGCTTATATGAGATAATATAAATTAAAGGGGCCCTATTCCCTATTCATATTTGTATTTTGTACCTCTACTGTGACATCTTTCTCATACTGCCTGTGCTGCAGCACCTCTTTTCACCCTCTGTCTGAAACCAGAGCCTACAGAGTACTGATAAATGTGCTGGTATTTATATTTTATATATCTGAACTTTGATCTGTTTTATAATAGTTAGTGTGATGGAGACTATGTAGTGGTTTAAGTGTTGATAATGATGTGTGTACCTGTCGAGGGACTGCAGATGAAAATGTGTTAATAGCTTAATCCGGGATAAATCAAATATTATCTTTTTGAGATTGATGTGTTTTGGTCCCTGTTTAATGAAGATATTATAGCATTTCTTTTTAAAGTGCTGTTAGTCACTTAATTACAATTTTTTAATTTTCACGACACCAATAAAAAGGTGATTTTAGGAAAAGGCTCACAGCACGCTATTTGTGTTCAACTCCATAATAATATTTATTCCTTTAGTGTCTGATATCCTTTTTGAGATGAAGTGATTAGATTAAAGGTCACACTGCGGTTTACACAAATGCTTTTCCAGGTAATTGGCTCAGACAAACAATTTGATCATTATTCGCTTCTCTCTGATCACATGGTTGTTCCTTCAACCTCGGATTGACTCCTGTGTACAGTAAACAGGGATCCCGGGGGTTGTGGGGGTCTTTGGTTGTGAGGAGCTTTGCACAAGATGCCATCTAATCCGCTGTCTCCCCAGAGAGATTAGCCCCGTCACCAGGGCCGGGTATTAAAACACGACTGGTGTTGGAGATACTGACACACGCACAAAGCTGTGACTCGACAGTCTGATGTAGACCGTTAATAAATAACGACTAAGCATGTATTTCAGTCTGTCATTAAATATCAACTATTATAGTCTTGGAGAGGATTCCAGAGGTTCAAGTGGGTTTTATGAAACTATAAGAGCATTGGTGCGGTTTGCCATGAGTTCAACATTTTATTCCTTGTTGTTTTTGATCCTGGTACATTTTTGATAAGGGCGCTTGGACCAGATTTATGAACATGTATTCATAAAGGTGTTGGAATAAATTCAATTCAAACTTTTTATTTGTACTATAGTTCCTAATTGAATTTAAAAATACTAATTGCTTTTTCTAATAGTAAGTATTTAGTTCATTCAGGGGCTTACCATAACAGGCTTTATTTCAGATTATGTATTTATTGAATTAACAGACAACATGCTATTTGCTACATGCTACATGCTACATGGTATTTTGTAATATATATTTATAAAATAATGGTATTGCGGCCATATCCCCCAACTCTAGTTTCTTGGCTTCTCTTTTTCCTATAGTATAATACACTTTTTCTCAACGTAATGTAGGTGATATAGATTCTGTTTTATAGTATAAGTAATCAAATATAATGCTTATAATAATACATATTCATGATAATGAGAAAGATGGCTCTTTTATTGCTGTTATATGTACTTTTTTGTTTTGGATGAACGACACCTGCCATTCAGACCATTGGTATCCATTATGTATTAATATTGGTGTGTAATGGGATATGTGTATAGTTACCCTCCTTCAACCATTACAACGTGTATTCACTCTCTGTCATTTGGACATTAAACTATTTGGAACAGCCAAAGAAAGTGAACTTGACAAGTTAAATATATAAAATCTGTGGAAAACCATAACATTTGTGGCGTGAAAACATCTAAAAACATGTTGAACACTTTATATAATTGATTCGAGGCATGGGTTGACCTAAAAACATGCACTATTAATCTCTCTGCATTCAGCGCACAGTGTATTGATGCCTTTGAATGCACCATCGGCACAGAGGTTGAGTTTGGATCAGACAGACACTTCAAAAGAAGCTGTGAATGGAAGAGAAGCTCGAAACTCTCCTCTGTATGTATGTGTCAGAAATTCTGTGTTTTCTTCAGTAACACGCAGATGAAAGGCAAACTAGAAAATATTGATCATTTAAACACACCTTAGCTGGAACCAAGGTCTCTTGAGCATGATACTTCAGTAGAAATGTATCAGCTGAAGGTCAAATATGTCAGAGAACTAGACAATAAGAAGGCACAAATCCCTTTCTGTCACTCCTGTGTTTTGGAGCACTTTCTAAGCGGGCGCTCCCTTCCTGTCGCAGAGCCAGAGCCTGAGTCAAGGTCCGTTCCCGCTGCGGGCGAAACAGGTTCACCCTCACACTTTCCATCTGTCTGGCCATGAATGATTCACTCTGTCCTACTGCTTCAGTTTGGCTGAGAACAGAGCTCGTACAGTGAAGAGTTTGCTTTATACAAAGTAAAAAACATGAGAGAAGGAGATGAAGAACATTGTATCCTTAAACAGCTGCAGCTGAAACACGATGAATAATCTTCTGTGCGCTGACTGAGGTCTTAACTGAAGGGAAATTCAGTTATAGTCAAAATTCATTCCACACATATTTCACCTTTTTGGCATTTTATAACAAAACCAATGAATCAATAAGATGAAAGGAATCCTTTGATGCAGCTTTAGTAAAATGATCTCCGTTTGACTTCAGAGGTAGAAGTGCTTTGAAATACGATCGCCACCCTCAGATCGGAAACATTAATATCAAGTTCTGCTTCCTTGAAAGGAGCCACGATAACTGATCACCACAACCTTTAAATAACTCTTCCAGGGCGGCAGTCTGTTCCTGGAAATGCAGTTCACACTCTGCATTTATAGACAGGGCTTTCTCCCTCTGTCCTCCTTTCATTTCCTCGCTCCTTTCACTTCTCTTATCTCTGTCTTCTTCAGCCGTTGCTAAGAGAAAGTGCACAGACTTGATAAAAATGAATGATATTTATTAGTCGCTAAGACTAAGCTGGTGTGCAGAGGACTCTGTTTTATCCAGGCTTTGCGTCCCAGGCCTTCAGTCGTATTATCTGCAGATTTCAACACTGGACAGGCAGATGCTTTCCTCCCCGAGCGCCATGTGTCACTGAATCTGAGCCGGGATAAGACGTCCATCACACTGAGCTCAGAATAAGATCTGAAGCACCCTGGTGCATCATTCGTAGAAAAAGACACAACAGCACATCCTCGTTATCTCAAGTATTTCTGAACCTCATGCTGAGCAGAATTGTCTGAAGAGCTGATTTACTTTAGAAAAATAAAACCCCTCTGCCCCTCCACTGACTCGCAGTCACACTGACATGCTAACCAGATGATATTATATCACGTGATCTTCAGTCTGCATTAGTGTAAATACTTCCTTATTAGATTTATCTTTGACCTGATGATGGAAATGTTATGTAAGATATCCACACAGATTAAAGTACTTCAGGCCTTCTGCAGAGGCTGCTTCATACGAGGGGAGTTGGTGTTCATGTTAGCAAACACACATTTGTTGCGCTGTTGCTTTGGGGTTGTGTTCTACCCTCAATATGTGATTGTTGTATAAACAATGGCATCATGATGTATGGAAATATCAATAGCGCCTTCAAAATGCTGAAATCTGAACTATTGAATTCCCAAATTGTGTTTTATTGCTGTTATCAGTGTGCTGTGTGTCGGTTTGTGTAATTCTGTTTCCCTTTTGCAGCTCCACTAAGTGTTTTAAGAATAGTCGAATAACGGTTTACATGATTACATGTTTAACATCCTTCTTCCTTCTTCTCTTACAGACTGCGCCAAGGAGAAGAGGAAGCAGGGAAACATTTAAAGACAAGAAATCCTCAAGTCAGGTACAAAAGATATATGTATTCTGTATCTTTCAAAACATAACATGTTTTATTTCATAAACAATAAAGGTGTAGACATTCTATATTGTCCTTATTGTCAACAAATTAAATGAAAACACTAACAACAATGAGTGATTAGTATTATGGTCATAAATCTCCAATGTTGACTAAAAACAATTAAAATCTCATTATTGATCCATAGTTTTTCAATTAGGAAAATGTGTCTTAATTACCATCATTTATTTTGATTCAATCCCACATGCATGGTCCTCCTCTTGCAAATGTGGATTAATCCACCGTTTAAAGTAGTCCCTAACAACAACTTTATTTCTTCTTTAAAAAGTTTGTTGACAATAACACAATAGCCGCGTTCACGCCGCAGTACTTTTCCCACTTTAGTTCCGATATAGTTCCGAAATGTCGCGTTCACACCAAAAAGAGCCGGAACTAAAATTAGTTCATGAGAACCTTTTTTCCCCCTTTGCTAGAGAGCAGGCACTTTCGTGGGAGAAAAAGGTTCCTATGTCTGATTGGATTGCAAACAACGCCCCGTAAAACTCCCAAAAAGGTTTTGTGAAGCCGCCATTTTATCATCCTCGCATTAGCATTATTAGCATTAGCATTAGCCCAGCGAACAAACGCAGAGAGACTAACTTATGGCAACACAAAATAAAACATGGGAGCGGTGGAAATGAGGAGGTGTCGGCCTTCTGGCGATTTACTCGGAAGGCTTCAGTAGAAGCTGCTGGGAGTCCTTTGGGTGGCAGTATACGCCGTGAAGTGGTTTGCGGCCTGCCAGTAAACCCAAAGCAGAAGAAGAAGAAGTGACGTCAGCGGCTTCATTTGCCTAATCCTTCCCCAGGAACTTATTCCGGTGTGAACGCGATCTGTACTCATGAACCTTTGTGGGAAAAGTACTGCGGTGTGAATGCGCCTAAGTATAGAATATCCCCAGCCCTATCCCCTAAAGTGTCTAAATGCCTCCTCCTTTCCTTCCCCTGCTAGGAGGACAGTGCAGACCTCAGGTGCCAGCTCCAGTTTTCCAAAGAGGAGTCGAGTCTGATGAGGAAGAAGATGGCGAAGCTGGGCCGAGAGAAGGACGAGCTGGAGCAGGAGCTGCAGAAGTACAAGTCGGTCTACGGGGACGTGGACAGTCCTCTCCCCTTGGCCGAGTGCTCCGGCGGCGGGCCTCACACGACCCGAGAGGCCGAGCTGAGACTCCGCCTCAAGCTGGTGGAGGAGGAGGCCAACATCCTGGGCAGGAAGATCGTGGAGCTGGAGGTGGAGAACCGGAGCCTTCGGGCGGAAAACGAAGACATCCGCTGTCAGTACGAGAGAGACTGCTTTGGGCGGGAACCCTTCTCCAGCATGCCCTCGTCTCCGTACGGTGGTGACGCGCTGGATTCGGCGAGTGAGCTCCGTCGGCATCTACAGTTCGTGGAGGAGGAGGCGGAGCTTCTGCGGCGCTCCATCTCAGAGATCGAAGACAACAACCGGCAGCTGACGTCCGAACTCAACCGATTCAAGTTCGGGCCCACCAGCAGCAGCGGCTCTGTGGGCGAGGAGGCCAGCGAGGGAGGATTATTCAAACCTGGGAATGGCGGGAATGGTAGCAGCGGGATTATGATGGAGGAGCTTAAATCGGCCAGGATGCAGATCAACGAGCTGAGTGGGAAGGTGATGAAGCTGCAGTACGAGAACCGAGTGCTCATCTCCAACGTGCAGCGCTGCGACCTGGCCGCTCACCTGGGTCTGCGCACCGGCAGCCCCCGAGACAGCGACGCAGACAGTGATGCAGGCCAGAGAGAAGCTGCAGAGGAAGAGGAGGCAGGGCGACTTCTCCTCCTGCAACCCAAACGGGAAGGCCCTATTGGCGGGGAGAGTGACTCCGAAGACCTGTTTGAGAAAACGGGCACCACCTCAGGGTTCGGGAGCATCAAACCCTCGGATGGAAGCGAGCTCAGCGCCGTAGAGAGGGCGAACCGCAGGAGGGAGGAACGGGAGTCGTTCACCAACGTGAAGCGTGAGGCGGAGAGGCTCGGGAAGACGGTGGATCGACTGATCACGGACACCGACAGTCTGATCTTTGAGGGCCATTTGCTGGTGACGACCGGAGAAAGTCTGGAAGCAGCAGCGGCGGCGGCGTCCGGATCCAAACCAGACACCCAGGTCCTGGACACCATCAACACTCGCATGAAGGCTTTCCGCACGGAGCTGCACATCTTCACGGAGAAGCTGGACCACGTGGGGGAGGGGCTGAGGGACCGGACAGACGATCTGTCCCCCATGCCGAACCTCACAGAGTCCAGCAGCTTCCTGTCCACCGTCACCTCCATGTCTCGGGACTCTCCCATCGGCACCTTCGGAAGAGACCTGGTGACGGACTTCCAGGTAAGTTCAACGGAGTCCGACTTCTGTTGTGGCCTTTTTTCTGTTGTTTTAAAAGGATTTCTCAGTTTGTTGATATGTTTTGTTTCTGTGGCTGCTTGGTTTGTTTGCTTAAAGATAAATAGTGATAATAAGGAAATCCTGTTCGCCACGGTTTGAAAAAAGTCAACACTTTTTTCAATAGATATACTGGAAATAAACAGGATGTACTTAAAGAAACTCTTTACCTAAAATAACTTGAAGAACAATCATTAGCATCCAACGGGGTCCGAGCTGGTTTTCGTAGACCAAGTCGAAGATGATCACACCAGATGGCTTCATTGCTTTAAAACACAAGAAAACTCATATGTTTAGTCTGCAAAATCCTGGCAAGTAAGACATACCCCTCTGGTGTGTGTTTGCAAATGTGAGAATTCATTTTGGTTTGATTTAAACAGCCGTAAGTGTGCAGTCATTAATCGACCGTTTAATGCCAAAATAAACTAAATGAGATCCTAAGTCAGAATCTTTAGCAGAACACATGCTATCCACCATGCCTGTCTATAGGAACCTCATTGAGTTGTAAGCAATTTAAGCAGCGTTTAGGATAGGTTCGGATTTGTTCAAGTCTATCTTAATGCGATACATGGCCGTATGTCTGCTGAGAGTTATGGGTCTTTCTCTGCAATAGGGAAAACTGTCTTTATTCTGTTCAAAAAATGTATGAATTGCACCAATTTTAAACACAAAGTCTGTTCTTTGATGTCTGTGCTGCTGCATAGGTGTAAAAAAAGTTGTTTAAAGATTGAGTTGCTCCAGAGGGAGCTGTGTGCTGTCTGTTGGAGACTACAAGTTAAAAAGAAGTGAGCTTAAAGACCAATGTAGCTCCTTATCCCTGCTCGAGGCTACCATAGTTGCTACTATCCTAACATTCATATATCAACCGGCAAAACTGATTGAGGGTGAGTTGCTTTGTGTGTAAAGTCGGCGCCAGGTTTTGACTAGCAAAAAGAATGGATGGATTAAAACAAACTATATCTCTGGTTCTGCTGCATCGATTGTAATCTTTCTTTTAAGCTTCAAAGTCACAGGAGTCTAATGCCATATCATTTGAGAAGGCAGCCAAAGTTGATTTGAGGCTTCACTAGTTTAAGTTGGCCACAAATAGTTGGTCCCCCCAAAAGGCTTTATGTACAGAATTCTTTGTTTGTGTTTCCCTGGACAGTGCTTCCTTTCTGAGATGAAATTTGCAGAGCGAAGGATTTTGTCACATGGTGGGGATTTGTCACTTGTAACGCAGGTGTCCTTAAGCGAGTTCAGGGAGCACAGAAACTTCCCGTCGAGTGGTCGTTTGTAAATCAAGTCGAAACGACCAGTGATGTTTGAGTGAGATTTGGTTGATTGCAGGTTAACAGTCCGTGTAGGGAGCACAAGAGGAGATTTGCATTGGCATAATCTGATAATGATTTAGCAATTTTTCGCTTGTGCTTGACTATTTATGAAACAATTTAGTTGTAAAACATGTTTCCCAACTTTACATTTGCGCCTTTGAATTTGTTAGTTGGACTGTAGACAGACTACGGACAGATATCCGCTGTCAACCCCCATTAAACCCAAATAGTGGCGTTTGCGCCCGGAGGCTCATAGTTGTCAGACTCATTGCACAGGGGAAAGCTTGCTTGTGCGATGCTGCTTTTTTATTCTTCAATGTGGGATTTTTCTATCGTTTTAAAGCAGCAGTGGACTGGTCGCCCACCCCTAGAGAAAGTGACCTGCAATTAGACCCTCATGACACAGGTCAGATAGACTTGACAAATCCGAACCTATCATTTAAAGCCTCAATAGAGACATATTGAGAGGCTGTTAGACCCCCACAGACGTCCAGTGGCTGCTCAGGGTCACATGGCAGGACCCTCCGCTCCGACACGAGCCACCCAGCTCCACCACACAGACCACCCCCCCACCCCCCCGACCCACCATCGCTTGCTGCTGCTGCTGCCACATTCACATCTGCATCTCCATGCACATCCTCCCAGCCAGCAGCCCTGCCTGCCTCCTCCCTGCACTCACTGTCTGCAGCTCAGTATGAATGGAGTAAGAACTGAAGGAGTAATGGCAGCTCTCCCATTCGACTCAATTCAAATATTTTTCCTAAAATAACGATCTATTGCATGATGAAGTTTTCAGTAAAACTGTTTTTCTAAAGCTTTGCTACAACATGCTATCATTTGTGTGAGTTGAATTTTATTTCAGCAGGACTTATGCCCATATATGGTTGAGAAATTGAATGTATACCCTTTATATATAAAATCTATGTTTATAACACAACATTATATTTAATAAACATTATGTTTTGTGAGCCAAATTCTTAATTTTAAAATGAATTACTAACTAAAGCTGTCAGATAATAATAGTATAATGATAATTATAGAGTTGAATGTTTAATGTGTTCCTTGGAGAAGTAATTAAGAAGTAGAAAGCGGCATTACAACTAGAAATGTGAAGTATTACTACTTACTGTAAGTGCAGTACTTAAGTAAATCCACTTAGTAACAATCGACTACTGGTGACTCATTATGACACACACATGGTGAAGCTGTTGTGTTTGCACAACATATCACGCACACACACACACACACACAGACACATGGTTACTCCATGGTGTTTCCTAGGAAACGAACCATGAAACCGTGTCTAAAATTACCTCCATTGAATAGAGAAGGTTTGCATGGGGCTGTGTGAGCTGAGAGAAACCTCGCTGGCTGCATCCTGCTTTCTGCTCGTGTGTTGTCGCAGCTTAGTGTAAGTCAACATGTCAACACACTGTGTGCTCTCCCAACGCAGGTTCATTATCTCCGTGCTGCATGATCAGGCAGACATCTTGGGTGTTTTATAATCACTCACACCATTGTTGGGAGACAAACAAACAGCTCTTCAAACAATTTTCAAACCCAATCTGCTTCTGTAGAGATAATGGAGTGACGCTGCCTTCATGCTTAATCTATACAACGACTTGTTTCTGCTTTGCTCCTCCGCCTGTACTGTCCGGTTAGTCTGGGTGAAGCTGGGTGGTTTAGTCAGAGCTAACCACTGCACTAACTACTCACACCTGTTCAATGCAAATAGGCCTTCTGTTGAAGATGATCGTATAATTGTGGAGTTTAAAATGCAGAAATAGTCCGTGCAGCAACAAAGTGTAGGGCAACTACATAAAATACATTTAAAGAAATTAAGATATGTACAAAAGTGCATTCACAAGAGAGAAACAAGCTCACTTTAGATTTATTAAGATTACGATTTATACCGTCATTGTATCATATTTCTCTCATAATAACAAGAGCCAGATCTCATAATAATCTAGTAAATATATTATATAATTAACTTGACTTGCAGCCTGTAATTATGGATCTTGAGTTCTGCAGACCCTCTAGTAAAATGTCATTAATGTAATTATAGGAGATGTGTACAAGATAGTTATGACGTGCAATAACAATTTCGATTTATATTTAAATCCTGATGTCATTTTTTTTAATGATCTTGAGAAGGGGTGGAAACATTTTCACATAATTATGACTTTCATTGTTGCCGATTGTAAAAAAAAAAGAAAAAAAAAAAGAATTGTACCAACCGATCACAGGATTCTTCGCTATTATCTTCCATACAGTAACTCTTATCTGACTTCACTTTACATTTTACTTTATGAATATTCAATCACAACATGAACAACATTTCCAACCTCTGACCAGTAGGTCAAATCCAAAGATATGGCTCTTGTAATTCTGAGATAATTCTGAGATAATAGTTTAAAATATGCCTAAATGTTTTCCCTTAGTGAATGCTACACACATATTTAGATAACTATTTAGCACAATAGCAATAAATTCCTGCTAGCTAGTGGGGAAACTAATTCACAACTATCATAGCGGCCTTAAACCTCGACGGCAGCCCTCCAGTGTATTTAAATGCTGTGATGTGTGAAACGATGTGGCTCTCCTCCTACAACCCACTGGGCTGTGCACAGGCATGTGTTGGAAACCTTTAGCGTGCTAGCTCTCGCTCCGCAGTTTTCCGTGGTATCTCTCAGCTGTTGGTTTTGGACTCATGTATCCCTCATTGCATGCGCTTCATAACAAGTGTTTTGCATTCTTTTCCCCCCGACCCCCTCTCTTTGTTCCTCTTTGTGTTCCCGCCAGATGTTTCAGCCCATGATTTTGTTCATCCTCATTCTCGTTCTCTTCTCATCTCTCTCATACGGCGTCATCTTTAAGTTGGTCTTTCTCTTTGCGCTTTTCTTCGTACTCTAGTCCGTTTGTTTTTCTCCACACCATGTAGTCTGTTAGTTAATTTCCCCCCCTCTCTCTCTCTCTCTCTGCTTATATTCTTTACCCATTTTCTGTTTTGTTTTTTGTGTTCCCCACCTGCTTTCTTTCCTCGTCCCCTCACTCCCGTTTGTTGTCTTTTGTCTATTTTGTCCACCTCGAACATCTCCCCCTACCACCACCACTTCCTGCACCCCTGTATCCTTCACCTGTCACCTCCCTAACCCCTCACCCCCCCCCCCCAACCCTCACCCTCCTTCCCTTCCCTTCCCCCCCCCACGTCACTCACAGTCCGGTCAGAGGGATGAGCTGGAGTGGCGTCTAGGACAGGAGCGAGGCGTGGAGTCCCAGAGCCAGAGACCCCCGGGACTCACTAGGTACCCCAGGCCCCTGGCTTTAAGAGCAGAGGTCAGTGCCCCCCTCCCACCTGTGGGACTGAGTTAACACCGGCTCCACGAGCCCCGCACTCCGAGCTTTCTGTAAAATGCTATTATATAATGATCTAAATTGATTAACAGACAAATCTGGTTTGGTTTCTGTGGAGCAAAATGTGTTTTTCTTTCCCATGGTGAAACCACAGCTCTGCAGGGCTCCAAAAGCATGTCATTTTATTTATTTTATTACACTTTTTATACAGCAAAATGAACAATTGAAAATAATCTATAGTCATGCTTTTGCAAAACTCATTCTGAAGGTGTCACACCTCAAATGTATTGCAGTTAATACTGGTAGGTAAACAAAAGAATACATTCATTTCGGGCGCTTCTGGGGTTTGTTTTTGGAGCGTCTGTTAGCCTGAGATGCAGTGCACCATGGGAGGAAAACTTGCTCTACAGTGAAGAAAGTTATATCATTTACAGGTATATGTTAATTCTTAAAGGTTTGACTTTACATTTGGTTTACAGGAGACAGAAATCCCTAAATACTTCTCCAAAGTATATCAAGTTTATCCAATCTAATTCAATTCATACTCATGTGAAGTTAAATCTGAAAATGATGTTCATGCCATAAGGTGGCTTCTCACATCCCAACCAAATTATAAAAAGTGCCTCTGAGCACTAAGCTGATTTTGAGTTTTAGATAATTAAATGTTTCGATGTGTTGTTATGATCAGAAGCCGCTCAGTCCAGCCTGTCTCGTGACACTCACTGTCACTGTTTAATACTGAACACAACTTCCCTCACACTTAATATCACCTTCCACAACCACTGATCTTTATTTCATTATTTATTAATTGAACTCTTTTGATTTGACATTCTCTTTTATGCTTTAATAAATTCACACCATGAGCCCTGGACATTTTTGATAGATTTCGAAGTAGAAAGTGGATCGCATAATACTCAAGATCTAAGAAAAGTAGTGGCTTTTATTGCACCAAATGTTATGATTGCATGTTGTGTGTTATAAGATACAATCTGATGGTAGTTTGTTGCACTTTAAAACAGTGTGAGACAGCAGCCATGCACAGCTGCAGTATAAGGACTTGTTAGGTATATGTATGCACTCAGTGTATCCCAGCTGAGTCAGCAGAGTGATGTCCTCTGTTCATCTCCACCGGCTGCAGCGTCATAACACGACTCAGCAAAGTAAACATATGCAAAGGTAGAAGAAGTACTCAGTATAAGTAGTGATGCTAAATTGTAAAAAATACTCTGTTACAAGTCCTGCATTCAAAAGCTTACTTAAGTGCACAAGTATCTGCATCAATATATACTTAAAGTACCAAAAGTACATTTCAGAATCATATATATCAAATTACTGGATTAAGATGTTTGATGCATTAATGTGTCTTTCAAGGCTGGTAAAGGTGGCTAAGCTAATTGTAATTCTTTGTATACTGCTGCTGGATATCTCAACCTATAATTATGTGCCAATGTTTTTATTAGATGACATATATTTTGTGTTGGCAAACAAACTGAATCTGTAAAAGCTTTCAGATCAATGTAGTAGAATAAAAAGTACGATAGTGGCTTCCAAACTGTAGAAGTAGGATTTATGAAAATACGCAGGTTGAGTACAAGTACCTAAAACATGCTCAAAAGTACAGTATTTAAGTAAGTGTACTTTTTTGCACCACTAACATATATATATATATAAGTGCAGCTTACACACAAGTGTCACAACTCCCTCTAAAAGACAGAGAGACAGGTGTTTGCTAACATAGCTGCAGGATTCTCAGATCAGTTGGATCTTTCAGTGACTAGGCGCTTTATAAACCGGCTGTGTAATCGCTGGACACTGAATCATAATCGCTGCCTCATGCTTGTGTTCATAGAGAAATTGCCGGCTGTTATGTAATGCAGAGCGCTGGCAGTCACACATCACTGTTACAGTTACAGTTACAGCACATCATGGGGACTCTTTGTGTCCCTGTGCTTTCTGCTGCAGTAATCTGTGAGGTGGAATTATATATATTATAATGAATGGGAAAGCGGCTTGGACATGGCTGGATTATCTCTGCACTTTAGGCCTGTGTGATTTGCATTTGACATTGGGCTGACAGGGAGGTGATCCAGGGTCAGGACACACTGAACAGCTCATCTTACTGTCGGAGGGGACAGAAAATGCCCAGCCTGCATGCACGATAGAAGAAAGAAATGCCATTAAAAAACGCGACAGTTTCCAAATTCCAAAAAGGATTTTTGAGGGACAGACAGGGATGTCTTGTAAATGAGTCGAGGGATCATTACATTCAAAACCAACATAAGCATCTCACTTCCCTACGAGCATTTTCTCACCTGTAATCAAAATGCAGTCAATGGTAGGAAGTGCTGTATTCGGCCTGTATGATTTGTGAAGTGCATTAAATGAAAAACCTGCAAAAGAGGACTCAAAACACTTTCAAAACATATTCATTTGGTGATAGAAATGTGATGTATGGGAGTGTGTTTCAGTTCAAATAGAGTACATTTATTGTCCTATTTATTGAATTTATACATTTTCATTTTGCCCATTAGAGCTATTAGTAACTGTGTAATCATGCCTAATTTAAGTTTTGAAAAGAAAAAAAAAATCACCAATGTGATAGAAATACTTATGTTGAATACACCTATTCGCTTTCTTACCTTTAAACATCGATGATACGTAATGCTACTCTCTAAATATATATGAAGTTACGGTCAGCAGTTGGTTAGCTTAGCTTAGCATAAGGACAGAAACAGGGAACAGCTAGCCTGGCTAAAGCACCAATTAAAACATTATGTCTTGTTTGTTTATTTTGTACACATAGGAAAGCATAAAAATAACATTTGCGGGGAGGTTATGTGCCAGACATCTCAGTTTTTAAAAGTACCGGTACGCAATTCTTCTAAACCTTTGGACAAAGCAAAGCTAGCTGTGTCGTCCTGTTTCCAGACTTAATGCTAAGCTACATTAACCAGCAGCCGGTTCCAGCTTCATACTTTAGTGAAAAGACGAGAAAGCCCGATCCATCTTCTGAAGTCTGAATATTTTTTTGAGAATCTATACTAAAGCTTTCAAGTTGCTAGAAGAATAATTATGTATTCCAGATTAAAATGTCAGCATTAAATGATTGAAGAAGGAAGATATGGGTTGTTCAATGTGTCCAAATCACCTCCCTTTATCAGTCCTGATCAGTGAGCCACACACAAACCCTTGCGATTTTGTTTCAACTTTCAAATAAAGCTTTAAATAGAGAACAACAGAACGATAGTGAGACATCAATATGTGCTGTTATTAATCGAGGTTGTTGGTAAAGTGACTGTGTTGTTGTGGTTCAGCTCCGGGACGCGCCTGCCTCTGACCTCACGTTTCGTCTGGATCCTGAGCGCAGACTGAGAGGGCCGGAGGATCGAGAGGCCGTCGCTGCTCTGCCTCAGGTACTACTCTGCAGTCCGTCACACTGCATGAACATGAGAGCATGAAGAACTGTATCACACTTCACTTATTCTGCTGTCTGTGCTGGAGTTCAATATGATTTTAATTAAGTGCCACCACTCGAGAGGAAACAAGGTTTTACTTTAATATCCATACTTGCATTTTCTATGATTGATTGATTTTGCGCTTACTTGCTTTTAAAAAATGATGACTCAAAAAAAATGTAATGGAAAAAGAAGTAGCATCTGCATCTAGAAACAAGGGTCTCTGTTTTAAATTACTAAACTTTCAATAAGCTCACAAAATCAGACGGCATCATTTAAAACCCAAACAGTTTGTAGATTAGCCATTTCTTTTGGCAAAAATGCCCCAAATTCTCCAAATCTTACTTTTAAAATGTACATTCATTCCTTGTTATTCTGGCAGAATATCTTTGAGTTTTATATGATTGGTTGGACATAAAGTCTAATATCCCAAATTTAGCATTTTCTACAATTGTCTGACCTTTTTTGTCCAAACAGATTAAGATTAATTATATTTTTATTATTTAAATATACATGTTTTAAGTCTCTCAAAACAAATAGACCTACTGAAACATTGGTGACCTAATAGATTTCTTAAGTGTCACTTACTTAGCTTCAGAAAGTATTTTGAAATATACCTTTTGCTGATAACATGATTCAAATATCTTCCCTTTACCCTCGTGCAGCCGGAGGACGATGCTCTGCGTCTGGAGGCGCAGCGCGGGGCTCTGGAGCTTCACGGCCTGCAGACCCACGACGTGCCGTGGCCTCAGGAGCGAGCCGTGCTGCAGCAGGAGGTCCGGCTCTTCAGACGCAACACCATCATCTTCTACATGAAGCTCCGCAGCATCCTCACCAGCTGGAGGCTCGGGCGCAAGGACGAGGGCGAGGAGGAGACCACACGTCAGGAGGTCAGAGGGTTTATACGTTTGGAGGCACTTTAAGATATCATTTTTAATAACTTTAGCGCGTTTCTCTGCATGTTTCATCGACACCATACTGCAGATTTTTTAAGGTATTTCTGTTTTTATACCCATAAATTGCAAAAACATTACACGATCAATTTGATTACTTAATTCACAAAGCAATAAAGAATATCAGGAAGCGTTTGAGTTGATCAATAGGAATGAGATGTCACAGAGAAGCGAGTCGTCCTGAGTTCAGTTCAGTCCTGATTGAAGGTCTTGTTAATTGCCCGGCTGATTGAGCGTCTCCATTTGTTGTTTCGGCTTGTTGATTCAGCGGTCGATGCTTCACCTTTTCTTGTTACCTTCTTGTGCTTCCGGCTGATTAAACTCCTAATTTGTGGGATTCACGTTTCAGTGGTTTTGTTTTTTTCTGGACATGTTAAGCATTGCTCTTCCCCAGAGAGCAGAGAGCATTTGAGCAGGACTGTGAGGTCTTTTTTTTACTGATTTATCTATTGACTGAGAAACACCCGGTTCCTCCTGTGTATCGAAAACAGTCATTTTGTGTCTGTCAGAAAGATAAATATATCTTTGCTTTGTGAAATATTGCATTTCTGTCCTGGATCGGGCATTTTTCATATACTTGAATACTACAAAGTCTCATAAGAATCTAAATTCGAATGATTATGTCCTGACTATTCATTATTTATTCATGAAGCGTCTTATGTTGAAACCTTATTTGCACCTACAGATGGTGCAGCAGTGAGACGTCAACTTCAGGATGTTTACCTCCCGCCCTTAATTTGACCTTGAATCCTTACAGAATATTTGTCTCAAGTCAGGCTTATATTTAAAGCACTTAATCACCGTTACAGTTTCAAAGGGCTTCACAGTGCTCCTTTTTAGAAACAGTCAAATAAAAGGATGTTTGACACAATTACACTACAGGAAAGGAAGAAAACCCAAAAAGGAAATAGGGGCTCTTTAAGACTGGTTCCTTGTAAGTCTATAAGGGTGCAAGTCTTTTGTATACTTGACTTTACTCTTGTGTTAAGTTTGCAATTCTCAGAGTTTTTGAAAAGAGTTACCACCATGTGTTGATCCTTGAAATTAAAAAAGACACATAGAAAAGGGAAAAAGCTTCACTTTTTCTATAAAGATTGTTCTAATCAGAGCGGTTCATCTTTTATGCATGAAGCTCTTTATCCAAAACATAATTAAAGGTGGGGTAGGTCATCTACCAGAATCAGATACCAGCTCAAGTGCGCTAGAATTTGAAAATACACAACCGGAAAAAATCTGCCTCTTCCTTTAGACTTCCTTATAGAGCCCCTCCTCCAACACACACGAACGCACACATGACCAATGAGGGCACGAGATAAGTTTGTGCACAGATGGGGTGTTTCTCAATCGCGAGTACGCTTGCTTGGTAGCACATGTCTGCCGAGCATCTTGCTTCAGAAGCGAGTCAAGAATACTTCCTGGCATTCGGAAAACGAAGAGTGGAACAGGCTAGCAAGTGTGCAGGTCTGCGTCATATGAGAGGCCCCACCTTACATCTTCCGCCACAGATTTGGGGAAATTGGTCCGTGCGCAAAGCATTGTGGGGATTTTAAGACCGCGGAGTCTACTCATGTGCAGCCTCGATATTTCTCCAAACGGAGTACGCCGGGCTCGGTAGATTTCCAAGTATGCTGGAGATTGGAACAGTACTTCGGCGGCACTCGATGACGTAGTATGCTTGAAATAGTGGCTCTGAAGCAGCTTTACTCGCGATTGAGAAACACCCTTGGAAGGCTGACAGGCAGGTAGGCCATCCAGTTATTTTAGCCGGGCCGGCTCAGATGATTGGTCGAGATTTTTACAGCGCCACGGCTTCCACAGATGACATTTATGTATTTATTGTCAAAGCATTTAATGTATTCATTGCTATCGGGATGTTAAGAGCATTCCATGGAATATAACAACAAGTGTTTCTGAAGTGAATTACATACCCCACCTTTAAGGTAAAAATCCAACTATTAGATAACATTCACACTTAAACTGCTGCAAATTAAAGATATGCTTAAAATGTCAAACATTAAATGAAAAGTATTACTCCAGCTTTGCTTTGGTGTACTTGAAAATGAAAATATATATATATATAAAAGTGAAGAAAATGACTATAAAATAAAAAAATGTACTGTTGAAATTTAGCAGCAATGTCATTTATTCAAAATAAAACCAAAACTATTTACCTGTGTGACTTTATAATGGTATGAATGTGACACGCTGTGTGTATTAATCCTGTGGTGTTTCTCTGCCTCTCTCCCATTGCATGCTGGGAAAAGCTCAGCGACTGTGAGCCTGAATGTGTTTGTACAAAAAATAAATGAGCGCATGAATTAAAACGCAGGCTTTTCATGTCATCTGTTCCAGTTTGAGAAGTTGGAGGGCATCCCAGAGCTGGGGGTGATACTGGAGCAGGCGGAGGGGGGGGAGGAGCGAGACGACAGGCTGTGTTTACAACAAACTCCAGAGGACCCCCCCGACCCGGGACCCGTCTTCTCGCAGACGTCACCTGACCGACACCTGCCGCACCAGAGACAGGTAAATGTTCTAGTATATGGATATTTTTCCTAAGTATATTGGACTGTATCATTGTAATATGTAGGATGACCTTATATATAACCCATCTTTTATTTCATTTTTATTTTACCTGGATTATTTACGTTCTCAGTGTTATCATTGATTTGATTTTTCATATTCTCATGTTTAATCTTTAGGATTTGAGACCTTAAAGTGCACCTATCATGCTATTTTTAGGCAATAGCATAGGTCTCAGATATATACAAAAATATAAAAAACATGTCTATGAAGTGTTTTGGTCAAAATACCAAACAGATCACCCATTCTAGCCATGCCTCATATCCCTCTAATTCACTTCCTGTTTCAAAAGTGCTGATTCTGGGTATAAACAGGTCTCTCTTGAGAATGAGACCCTGTGTCTCAATGAGATTTTCACCTGTATAAATAAAGGCTAAATTAAATTAAAAAAAATAAGAGGGGGCGGAGCTTATGCCGGCTCATGCGGGACCTGGCAGATACTGTCTGAAATGCTGCGGGGATGAAACGCAAGGATTATTAGATCAAGGATTATTTCTGAAACAGTATGGAGCTCAAAGGCTTTCTCTCTTGCCGGTTATACCACAAGGTGAGTTCCTTTTTATTTCCTGCTTCTTCACACACATGCTCTCCAGTACAGGTTAGCTCTGAGTGTTAGCGATGCTAATGTAAGCACCGACCATATTACGTCCAAAACAGTCGGGCATTGTTTCTGATAGCAACGTTTCTGATAGTGCTGTGGGTCCGCCGCCGATTTGACGTCATATCGGACGCAAATCTGGATCAGCTCCGTTGAACCCCCGTTTTTAGAGATTTGGGTACGGAGGAAAAGAGAGAGGGTTTTATTTTCTGACGCTGCGTGAGTTCCCCGACACACCGGGGACACATATTTATGTATAAAAGACATCAAAAAGTGCATTTTGCATGATAGGTCCCCTTTAAACATGTTGTGACCCCTTGTTAAAGAAACTGTTCATCTAAATTGGAGTACTAATGGATGTAAAGGGGAATGTGAGAAAATAACTACTAAAGAATACGTTTAAAAAAAAAAATGAGGAATAACTGCAGTTAAATTACTTTTTAACCTACATTGGACCCAGCATTATTTAAATGTTTTGAGTTAGTCCATTGTTTTTACCTGATGAATTAGGAATGAATATGATGCAGTACAATTCTACTATTTGTTTTAATGTTACTCGTAGCTTAGGCATACAATAAATCTTCGAATCATAAAAACATCCGACGCCATAAAAAAAGATTTCTGATTAATTAAAATGATAATTCAATTATAAGTAATTTTATGGCAGTTTTATTTTAAAGCTGTAAAGTACTTCAAAGTGCCTCATGTTGAAATGTGCTTTATAAAAACACTTTGTATTAGACTTTTCTTTAAATCAAACTCTCCATACTATCCATCTTGAATAAATGTATGTTTTGGGCGAGTTTGGACCTTTGATTGTTTCTCTCGTTCACTTTCATTGTGTTCAGATGAATGTTTGGCAGCCGTTCATTAGAGCTGGTTGGTACTGTAGGGTATGCAGATGAGAGTTCTGGCCTAGATAACTGGTTAGAGGCAGCAATTATTTTCGAGTACACCCAGTTTTTATGCTTATTGTTTACACAAAAATATGGACGCTCAGTGACATGCAAAGGAGACAAAAGGAGCGCCTGTTCCTCAGGACGCCGAATGTTTTCACCCAAACATCGTGTGTGTTGAGATCTGCTTTCAGTGTGTCTGTGGATCACTTATCCACTCTGTAAAACTACAGAAAGTACAGTAGGCATTTTGGGTCAGATGCATTATTAAGCAGCTTTAAGTGCTCTACTTTCTCCCTGTGTTTTGATTTTGCACGACATCAGAAAAGTGGTTTGCACAGTGATCTAACATTGTTTCTGTTCAGTTTTAACAAGCGTGCACAGTAGACAATATTATAAGCTTTACGCATGAGAGCAGAAATGCAGACTTAGTTGCTTAGTAAGCATTTGAACACGAGGCTACTACAGCGGAGCGGAGGATAATTCCTGCAGGCAGAGTGAGATAGAGTATGTTAAGCCATAGAGAGGTCATTGAAAGATTTCAGTGAGGAGATGCACGTGATTTAGGCAGTTAGGCATCTGTGTGTCTGGATGTATTCCCCTCTGGTGCTGAAGAGTAGGATACTGATGAAGTGCTAAAGTGTGTGTAAATACTGTCGATGAGATGAGGTGTTTACCAATAGGGATTGCATGATAGAGGATTTTGTTACAGATTGTCCTGAAAAACACTTCCATTATTTGGATAATCGTGAATATACTCACATTAATGACTTGGAAAAAGCTGGCTGCCATGGGAGAGAAGTGAAAAATAAAGCCTGGTTTTAAAAACACATGAATTTTGATGCAAGAAAGAAACATTTCGACTGTTCTTATCCTTTACCTTTTCAGGGCGACCTTATGATCTATGGTTTCCTTATTAAAGATTGTTTGATTTTCATTAAAAAATTAGTTTGTCTGCAATGCAATAACATTTTATTTTCTTAGCTAAATGTAAGTTAGGTAGGTCCTCACAGAGATATAACTCAACACAACTTTATTTATGTGGTGTGGTGCAGTGGGTTGTGCGTTGGTGTTCGGATCAGGGGGTCACAGGTTCAAACCCCACTGCAGTCAGCATGTCGTTGTGTCCCTGGGCAAGACACTTCACCCCAAATTGCTCCTGTGGGGATTGCCCACAGTATTGAGTATGTAAGTCACTTTGGATAAAAGCGTCTAACAAGTGACATGTCATGTAATTTATGTATTTATATAGCACATTTCATACAAACATGAAGCCCAAAGTCCTTCACAAAAGAAAATAATAGGAAATATTTTATTAAACAAGACAACCGGATATCTTCGACCTCAGGATTCAAGTTTCTTCAACTAATTCTTCTTCTTGTTAACTCATCTTTCAAACAATATTTGATTGTCTTTCTGTTATTCCAACAATCCCTTACTCTGTTTTTTTCAAAATGAGCCCTTATGGACATGGAAATATATTTGTTTACGGAGACAGACCATTAAATTGGCAACAGCAACAAACAAAAAAACATCTACTGTATAGTCAGACAATCGCCAATATCGAATATAATTGTCCAACCTTTATTTAAATCCGTTCATGCGTTTATATTAAAGTGCTTTTATTGGTAGGAGACAAGGAAGGGTAGATTGGAAAGGACAAGGGTAAGGAAAGAAAAAGGGGACGACATACTGTATATGCCTGGGAAACAGGATGGAGAGCACAATTTGATTTAAAAGCACTTACAACACAGGTTCATCCCCAAGTGCTCAGAGAGAAACAAAGGACAGAGATAAGGAGCTTCAAGATAAAGACAGAACCTGCTGAGCTCACTCACACCTGGATTAACCTCTGCTAAATAAAAAGTATTAAAAAACAAAAAATGCGACACCATTGTTGTGCAATAACACTTATGTGTACTTAGTTAAAATTATTATTATTGCTGGCTGCCTTCTTAGTTTGGCTATTTTAATACAGTAACAGGAATCTGTGAGTAACTCTGTGCAATATATAATTCTACCTCTGTTATTTAGCTTCTACCACACTTCATTATACATGCTACACTTCATTTACTCCATAAATACTGCTGCTGCTGCGTTCCTAACCGAATGTGTACTTTGTAAATTGTAATAACTTTTATTATTAGTCCTGCAGCGGGGAAACTTAAAGCGTTACAACAAAAGTGATATAGCAGATAAAAGGCAAGAAATAATGAAGTGGCTAACTATTAAATATAGAGATGCACACATTGAAAATGATATAAAAATAAAGACAAATATGTACTCATCCATGGAAATAGGTAATTGAACATGAACATATTAAGGTCTGAGATACTATAAAAATGATGTTTTGAACGTAGGAATGATTATGGTTATTGCACAGTAGAATCACCAAAAGGATAGATAGATAGATAGATAGATAGATAGAATTGGGAGGGATGAACCCCTCTTTAATGGTCACACATGTAGAGCACACAGCACACACAGTGACATGTGTTCTCTGCATTTAACCCATCCTCGTACCAGGAGTCTAGTACTAGGAGCAGTGGGCAGCTATTGTACAGCGCCCGGGGAGCAATGGGAGTGAGGGGGGAAGGGGGGTGTCCAGGGCACCACGGCAGGGCAGGAGGTGAACTGGGACCTCTCCAAGTAGCAGTCCACTCTCCATATTTAGGTCTAGTCGGGGACTTGAACCGGCGACCCTACGGCTCACAGCCCCTTCTGACTGAGCCACTGCCGGTCTACAGTGCACGTTACAGGTGTATTGCACATGATCTCACAGTCTGTATTGTGTGTATTGTCTACCAGGGGTCGTGGTGGTTGTAGAGCCGTTGTGGAAGGAAGGAATTCTGTAAACAAGTTTAAATATCCTAATTCTGGGAATTGAAAAGAAAAGTGGTTTAAAGGTCAAATATGGGTTCGGGTAACAGTAACACAGGGGAAAATGTGTTGTCTGGGGATGCTAAAAGGATTGAAAGAGAAGGATGAAAGGAATATAAAAAGGTTAGAAAACGGAACTATCATTTCACGGGAAGACTAGGGGTAGAGGAATGTGAGAATTAGTTTAGGGGTATTGACAAATATCTGGAACAAACTACCAGAAACCTGCAGGTCCGCTGCGACTACTTTTAAATCCAGGCTGAAGACTTTCTTTTTGCTGCTACTTTTAATTGAACTATTCACATCTTACACGGCACTGTAACTGTTATTCATGTACCCGTTATTCATGTTTTATTATCTTTGCTTTTTAATGTTTCTAATGTGTTTTATGCTCTTAATGTCTTCATTTTTGTAAAGCACTTTGAATTGCCTTGTGTTGAAAAGTGCTATATAAATAAACTTGCGTTGCTTTGATTCTGAAATGATTGTTCCCTCCTCTCTGCAGTTCGGGGAGAACCGGCAGGTGCTGCAGGCGGTGCGCACGCTGCTGGAGGACGTGAGGGCGGAGCTGACGGAGGAGGAGGCGCGGCGCTGCCAGCTGCAGGCGACCTACGCCAACGACAAGGCCGCCTGGGAGGTCAAGTGGGCCGAGGTGAAGAGCCGCTGCGGACAGGTACAGATGGCGACTCAGCGTCCTCCTTAAAGGGACAGGACACAATCTGCTGTAGAGACTAACAGGGCATTCATTAGGCTGCCAGGTGACAGTAAACATGTTCTCCAGGGAGGAAATCCAGCCCAGGGCACGGTGCTAAGGAGATGAAACAAAGGAATATGTATTTGTTGTTAAGCCTTCTCTCTGGGCTGTAGTTTTAAAGTGCAGCAATGATATTCAAATTCAAATTCAAAGGTTTTATTGTCATATGCACAAAGAAATGGCAATGAAATTCTTCTGACCTGAGCTCCTCCAACAATGCAACATATATAATAAAATACAAAATAAGAAGTCTATATACATGTCAATAGAATATGGGATATGTACAAGAACAGAATATTACATTAAATAATGTAAATTAAGACTAAATTAAATACGGTTTATTGCAGTGAAGTTGTGTCTTAATAATAATAATCGCAGGCAGGGTTGGGAGGGTTACTTTAAAAATGTAATCTGTTCCTAGTTACCTATGATAAAAAGTCATCAGTAACATAGTTTTGAAAGTATCACAATATAGAAGTAATGAACCTTTCTGTTAATTTTGATCAACCTCAATATCAAGATCGAATGCAATGCAATAAATACAAAATAAATATCAAATAAGATGTAGCAACAATGATATGAAGTTGAGTCCTACAGAACAGTACAGCTTACAAAGAAGAAATACAATCTCTTTTGCAAAAGACACAATATGCAGTAGTTTGTATTTGAGTACTGCATATGGATAAAGAGAGTCCTCTGTTTTGCTGCTACACAAGTACCTGTATCTTGATGACGTAATCCCGTTACATGTAATCCGTTACTCCCTGAGCTTGATCACCAGTAACAAACAAATGGACAGAATCCAATTCATAATCACCACTTGAAAATGTAATTAAAAAAGGAAGGGGCTGCTCTGAATGAGACAACACAATGATGAATCATTCAGCACGGTGCCTTAATGTTCGACGTTCCTCTAATCATCCCTTTGTGAACTCAGAACAGCTGTTATCTTTTATAAGCACTCATTATGGGAGTTTGTATTTGTAGATTAGGAGCAGAGTATCTTCATCTGAACCTGATAGGAGTACATGAAATATGATATGAGTTCTGCGATTACAGTAAATGGCTTTCGAGATTGCAAACAAACTTTAGTTGATATTTGCTCAAATTGTTGACATAGCTTGGATAACATTAATGTAGTTCTCAACACCTTCAAAATAGCTTCCTATTGAGTGGCGTTAAGGAGAGTGCAGCTCCCAGGAAGTTAAAGAAACAGACTTCAACAGAGACTTACTTAAAGGTCCCCTATTATACTCTTTTTCATCAATATATTATAGGTCTCAGATATATACAAAGCATGTCTCTGAAGTGTTTGGCTTGAAATACCAAACTGATTATTACATTACATGTCACTTAGACGCTTTTATCCAAAGCGACTTACATACTCAATACTGTGGGCAATCCCCACAGGAGCAATTTGGGGTGAAGTGTCTTGCCCAGGGACACAACGACATGCTGACTGCAGTGGGGTTTGAACCTGTGACCCCCTGATCCGAACACCAACGCACAACCCACTGCACCACACGCCTCCATTATTGTAGCATCCCATAAACCCCTCTGTTTCAAAAGTGCTGATTCTGTGTCTGTAGCTTTAAATGCTAATGAGTTGCTGCTGGCCACGCCCCTCTGAGAGATGATTGGTTTAAAAATACACAATGATGCTATAGGAGGAGACTCAGGTGATAAAGTGGGCGGTTATTGGCTAATTGTGAACAGTGTGACATCACAAAGCGGCAAATATCTGATCAGCTCATTTTCTGGCATATAAATGGATCAGGACCAGGATCAGGAAAAAATCACACCACGATTTCATAATGTATTTTTTAAATCATGAGATTAATGAGGCAAGAATTATCAATCCCTCCAATATCATGAGACATATCGCAATTGCAATATCAGTCCATATAATCAAGTTTTTTTCCCCATATCGTGCAGCCCTGATTTCTATACTGAGTATACTGACACCATAATTTCACCTGGCACATTTGATTTGCATTGTGTTTTAATTTAATAGTAAATAAAAATGTCAATACTAGGTCTGCAGTTAGAAGTGGAAGTTCGTTTAAAGGTCCCCTATTATACTGTTTTTCATCAATATATTATAGGTCTCAGATATATACAAACATGTCTCTGAAGTGTTTGGCTCCAAACACCAAACAGATCATTGCAGCATCCCATAATCCCCTCTGTTTCAGCCCTGTTTCAAAAGTGCTGATTCTCTGTCTGTTACTTTAGATGAAAATAAGGAGCCCCTCCCCACGCCCCTCTGAGAGATATTTGGTTAAAAAGAACACAATGGTGCTCTAGGAGGAGATTCAGGTGATATGGTGGGGGGGGGTTACCTTGGTTGGTGATTGGCTAATGGTTACTCAAGCCAAAAAATCGTTATGACATCATGAAGTGGCCAAAGTCTGATCAGCTCATTTTCAGACACGTTTTTATATAAATGGATCAGGACAAAAAGTGAGTGAATCTTTTTTCCTGAAACTTTCAGAATCTCTTTACACAGAGGGGACACATGGTGATGTATGAAAGACATGAAGAAGTGGATTTTGCATAATAGGTCCCCTTTAAAGGACAGGTAGAGCAGTGTGACGAAGAAGGAAATGAAGTCGATTATGTTTTGGAGCCTCAATGTCTGCTTCGTCAGATTTTGACTTGAGATATTCTTTGCCTTTAAAGGGCAGAGCACGATCCGGATCAACAGATCAATGTGGGGAAAAAAGGACAGCACACAATGAATTTGAGGATATTCAATATTTAGTTTCTCGTATTAGAGGATTTTGAAACTTTCCTCCCGAGATATATCTGAGGAAAAAGTAACTGCAGCTTTGGGAACCAATTAAGATCAGTTTGATTTATAGAAAGAAGATTATCTTTTTAACTCCCATGCTCTTAATCTGAAAAGCTTTTACATGGTTCATATCCTCCCACAGAGCAGAGGTCGCTGAGGGCTTCAACGAGAACTAATTTACACTCTTCTGATAGCGCCATGTTGAGCTCTTCTCTCCCTCCACGGTGCTTCAAACTGATTAAGACTTCAGAAACATGCCCCCAAACTTCTGGATTTCTACTCAGGATTATTACACAGCCCAGCAGAGCGGAGCAGAATTTGAAATTACCTTCACCTGTGTGTTTATATTTTGGAATAAGGGTATTTTTTAGGTATTAATAACAGGCTGGCTCTCAGGGGAGAGAGTTCAGCCTCAAATCAAATCAATTATATTTTCTGCTACAATTGGAGCCTGTTTGATTTGAACTTGATACGTTTCTCCAGTGTGTAATCAGACACATTTCCCACCTCTTATAAACCAAACAAGTTGAGTGTTTGTGAATGTCCGTTATGTAAGCTGCAGCCTTGACTTGCTCCACACGCTGCAGACCCAGTTTGTACCACTATGTTGCGGCGTTAAAGCCGCCTGAAGATTACAAAGCTCGGTTCTTCCAGAGGGGCTTTCCTCCGACGCTCTGCAGCTTTGAAGATGTGCAGTTCATCTGAATCCTCGGTTCATGTCCTTCCTCCAGAGACCGGTGTGAAGAATACATTTCGGAGGGGAGACCTGACTCAAGTTTTAACTGTGTTTCTGTCGACTACAGAACAACTCCTGGTGCTTTGTGATGCCTTCTCCTAATCTCATTGTGCTTCTTTGTGACTAGAACTAACTTAGTTTTTATAATGTATTAGAAGACATTAAGACCTAAAAAAAAAAGCCCATTTGGTGTGTTGCTTCAGGTACCAGAAAGTCAAGTTTGAGAAACAGATGTGTTGCAAATTGCACATCGATTCAATATTTTAAGATAGGACTTTACAGCTCTGGAAAAACTATAACATCAGCATTTATTTTATCTTTTGTCACGATAATTGCAAAGTAAAGAATAGAAATTCAGCATTTTGCATATTGCAAATTTGGCAGATGCTTTATACAATCAATCAATCAATCAATGTTTATTTATATAGCCCAATATCACTAATGTTACATTTGTCTCAGTGGACTTCACAGTTTGTACAGAATATCAGTATGACAATACGACACCCTCTGTCCTTAGACCCTCACATCGTACAAGGAACAACTTCCAGAGAAACCCCACAGTTTAAAGGGGAAAATGGGAGAAACCTCAGGGAGAGCAACAGAGGAGGGATCCCTCTCCCAGGACGGACAGACGTGCAATAGATGCCGTGTGTAAATCGAAAAGATAATACATTTACAACATAGGTAGACCAAATGTTTTGAAATGCATGTGTCTATAATAAGAAGATGAATCCACAAGGATGTCAACAATCCTGTGGGAGCCATCAGGGAAGTAGTATGATGAGAGTCAGGCAGGACCACAGTGACAGGTTCAGCCACGACTCGAAGTCCACGACTCAGGATAGAGTATATGATCTTCAATTTATTTTTTCTTTCTTTTAAAAACATTTATTCATTCAAACAAAAGAGTTTCACCTACAAAAATAGTTTCTCACTCACCTCAAGATTTAGGCAGTTTTAGTTTTATTTGCCACGATCTTGAGAAATAAACCTCATTGCCAATGGAGTTTAGAACAATTGCATTTAAAGACTCAGCAGTAGCAACTCCTTCCAGAATCAGTGTTCTCGTTACTCTGTATTATACCAAAAGTATTATACTGCAACCAGTTTATTTAGGACTATTTCTTCTATTCCAAATAATCCAATAATTCTAATATAAATTATGTTATAAATTCGGTGAATCAACCTGTTAATTGGAACCATGTTAGCTGTTGTGGTATTTCCTCATAACAACACTTTTTCTTTGGCTTCATTAGTTATTTTTATAGCATAATCATAATTTTATAATAACTTATCAACCCAACTTCTGTGTCTTTGCTGTTCTTAATGTCTTAATGTGTGCATATGTATAAATGTTGATTGTGTATATATAGAATATACATATTTTTATATATATTTGTATTTTTGTATTCGGGATTGTGGGAAAAGGTATTTCGATCTCTCTGTCTGTACACACGAACTGAAAGATTGTCAATAAAGTTGACTTTGACTTTTGACTTCTTTACCAGCCGGACGAGGAGGGCGAGGGCGAGGTGCGAGGAGAAGCTCAGGGAGATGAAGGGGAGCCGGATGAAGACCCCGAGCGGGAGATGAATCTGGAGCGGGACGAGCACCGGCGGCTGCTGGCCGACAGCCACAGCACGTCTCTGGACCTCAGCTGGAAGCTGCAGCACGGGGAGAAGAGATGGAGCCGAGAGAGGGGCGAGCTGCTGGACCGCCACGACCAGGAGAGGCAGGAGTGGGATGGCAGCATGAGGGAGCTGCACCGCAAGATGGAGAGGGTGAGAGGATCTTAGAAAAATATCACTCGTCACCGGCTTGAGCTTCAATATCAGGAGACATGTATTTATTATCCTCTCAAGAATGGAAGTAGTCATCACATACAGAGCATTAGGTACAACTAGTTCCTGAACAGTGTCCTTCACATGCTGATATACAAGAGAGGGTTTACACAGTCACAAGATGGAGGAATACCGGTTCAAAGCAGTATTCAATGTTATGTTTAGATTAGCTCCACGTCAGAAATGATCATGCTTGTCATATGTCTATCTCCATAGAGGCTGAATCATCATGTTAATCACATAGCTATCATATGCCTAAAACAGTCCTGATGCTCTTCTATGTAATCAAACATCCTGTCATGTACACAGCTACAGTTAGGATACCTTTGTTATCATGTGCTACTCTGATATTGGAAGAGTACATTCAGTATTTTCCCAACAGAGGATCTTGTCTTTTTAATCTACACATGACATCTATCACACATCTGTCCCTCCTCTGTTGCTCTCCCTGAGGTTTCTTACATTGTCCCCCATTAACTTTGGGGTTTCATTTGGAAGTTTTCAGAGTGTGTCGTATTCGTATTCTGTACAAACTGTAAAGTCCCCTGAGAAAACCAATGCCAATCACCATCTCTTAAGAGAACACCTTCATGGGTGATGCTATGTGTCTAAAGAAGATAATCATTTTACATTCACATGCAGCAGAGAAAATCAGATTCAGGCTAAGATTTACAGCTTAACATTTTGAATAAAATAATCTGAACTCGCAGCCTTGAACCCTTTTGAATGAACTGCTTAAGTGTAAACTAAAGTAAACTAGGAAAACACATCTAAAAGATCTGAAGCTTTTTCTTGTTAAACGATGTAAGTGTGTGTTTATATAAGAAAGAGTGACAAAGCACCCCAAAAGGCAATTATATTGTCTGTTCCTTAGTACTCGGCGAGGTTAGACACAATAAAAACTCAGGTTTACAGAATAATTGATGTCTTTTGTGAGATTTAATTAGCAGAACTGCAGCGTCTCGACTCTGTTTGATGTTCAGGGCCGGATTGAGCTGGTTAATTTAATATGAGTGTGAGAGTATTTACATATAAAGCAGGGGCTGGAATATTAACACACTCAGAAAATAGCAAGAAAACTGCTGATGCAATGCTGAATGAAAAGACAGAGCAGGAGGCGTAGATGCATTATTCAGCGATACATGCTGAAAGTTATGAAACACAGATCACCACATGAACCGATAACAGTGGGTGAAAGTGAACAAGTGATGGGGGGTCTTCTTTTAACCTTGAGCCTAAATCAAGTCACTTACCTCTGAATGCTGCAGGTGGAAGAGTGGAGGATTACAGTTTCTAAAGGAACGATAGGTGTTTGTACATGTATGTGAGGAAAGCCTCCAATCGCATGCATAAAGCATACTGTAAATGCAAAGCCCATACGTGGGGACCCATGAATCCCCCTGACCTGGGCGATATGTGTCCTTACATTCTCTGCAAGGAAGCTGCATCAATTAGTCGACTAATTGATCATTTGGTCCACAGAAAATTAATCACCAGAATTTCTATAATCAATTAGTTGTTTTTTCGTGTAAACATGGCAGACGAATGCCCTTTTTATCCTCTCAATCTGTACTGATGTACCGATAATAATCAAGAAGTGACAGTACAGACAGGCCAAAGATTTTCTTTTTAGGTTTTTAGAAACAGTTTTGATGTGAAATTGCCTCCAGAAAGCACTAAAAATGTTATCAAAGTTTTTCATTTATTTGTTTGTTTTTGCAGAAAGAAAAATGTATTATTTTCTGATATGATTGGGAGTTGGAGGGAGAGAGAAAGAGGGTTGAGATACACCAAAAGTCCCAAGGCTGAAATTGAACCCCGGGATGTTGTGGTTATATGCTGGAGCTCTTTATCAAAAAACATCCTTTTAACCCCTTAAAATATAGGCTGTGATGTTAAGACCATAAACAAACAAATACACAACTTTTTTAGAATAATTGGCAAATGTCAGTGTCAGGATTTTGTATATAATGAGCTCAAACTTGCAAACTACAGTCTGGTTGTTATAAAAAGTGAATGAGACTGATCCTCTGATATCTGTGTGTGTGTTTCTTATTGCAGTTGCAGAGAGAGCTGAGCAGCCGGCGAGGCGAAGACTTCGACGTCAAAGATGGCGGCTCGGACCCGAGAGGCGTGTTTTCTCCTCAGGATAGTCCCTGCATTGCCCCCCGCTCCCCTCGCTCCCCTCGCTCCCCCTCTACCTCCACCCCACCTCCTGCCCCCCCCAGACGCTCCCACTCTGACTCCGAAGCCATGCTGGAGCATCAGGGGGCCGTGCGGAGGCTGAAAGGCCCCACGGAGAACCTGCTCCTGGACGCTCTGTCTCTGGACCCCCTCAGCAGCCTGGAGGTCCCGCCCCCCTCCAGACTGAGCGAGAGCGACAAGAGGTTCCCCTGCATGAAGGAGGTAACACATCCACCAAGTCACTTTTACTTATTTAAAGGTCACCTATAATGCAAAATCCACTTTGTCATGTCTCTTCTACATCAACATGTGTCCCCTCTGTGTAAAGAGATTCTGAAAGTTTCAGAAAAAAAGATTCTCTCACTTTTTGTCCTGATCAATTTATATAAAAACCTGTCTGAAAATGAGCTGATCTGATTTTGGCCACTTTATGATGTCATAACGATGTTTTGGCTTGCGTAACCATTAGCCAATCACCAACCAAGGTAACCCCCCCCCCCCCCCACCTTATCACCTGAATCTCCTCCTAGAGCACCATTGTGTTCTTTGTAACCAAATATCTCTCAGAGGGGCGTGGGGAGGGGCTCCTTATTTTCATCTAAAGTAACAGACAGAGAATCAGCACTTTAGAAACAGGGCTGAAACAGAGGGGATTATGGGATGCTGCAATGATCTGTTTGGTATTTGGAGCCAAACACTTCAGAGACATGTTTTGTATATATCTGAGACCTATAATATATTGATGAAAAACAGTATAATAGGGGACCTTTAATACTTTCATACAGAAAGCCAGTGTGCACCAAGGCGGCATGCTTTAAACAGCAGCGCACATTTTTGGATGTGAGGGAAGAAGAAATTAGGTCAAAATAGAGCATTTAGGATACATCACATTACATTACACTCTAGGGTGTTAGGCATTTCTCTTAAGCCATAACATCGACCTAATGGGATTTTTTTTTACATTTCATAGATATTTTAATAAGTGAATTAGTCCTGAACAGGCAAGACAATTTCCTCGGGTGTCACTCAAAAACCTGAACCTCAAATTGCTAATATTTGTTATTCTTAGATCTTTTTTTAGAAGGTTTCCCTGTTTTCTACAACATTGGATGTAGGTCATTGTAGCTGTAAAAAGAATAGCTATACGCTTATATAGCCGGGGAGACGAGTAATGGTAAAAAGAATACCTCCGATATTGAGTTTGAAAATGTACGAGAAAAAAACTTGAATCTTCTCTTTAGTGATTCATTCATTCAACGTATGTCAGAATATGTTATTTCTATATAAAAAACATTTAACTTACAATGGCACTTATTAGTACTTTTCAAAAAAAAGATATTTAAACATTTCAACGAATCATCTACTGATTTCTCCCCCCTGCTGTTACCTCCTATAAATCATCTTACACTGGAAATGTTCTCACATGATTGATCCGTTGTGTTTCAGGCCCTGAATGAGATTTCGGAGAGAGACGATGATCTTGGGAGCCCGGAGGACGACATGGCTGTGGGCAGTCTGCTCAGGTAACCTCATGAAAAAGAAGTGAAACTGAGTTGAAAGAGTATTTTATGGGTAAACTATTCTATAAAAAGCTGCTGCATATTAATAGATGTCAGCAGTAAACACTTGCTGCAGATTTTCCAGCCTCCTGCTAAACTTCTGTTGCTCATACATACACATGAATCCCTCCGGAGACTGGCTGTGATTTTGCCCCTGGTGAACTTTTGTGAAACTTTCTCAAGTGATCCAGCTCAGCGTGCTGTTAAATAATTCAAAACTGTTTTAGGTTAGTGTATTTGTATAGTACATTTAAGACACAAAGGCAATTTAAAGTGCTATACCAAGGCAATAACCCATTCTTACAAAAAATGACATTGCAAATACACATAATGGTGCAAGAAGTGCTGCAGTGCAATGATAACATAAAGTTAAATGACCTCTGGAAGGGCATCATTATAGAGAAAGGTTTTCAGCCTCGATTTAAACGAACCCAGATATTCAAACTTCTTGAATATCTGGGGCTGACCTCAGATATTCAAGAAGTTTGTTTCAGGTCTGCGTAGTTTAAAAACTAAAATAGAAAAGATAATTTGGTTGAGATGTTGTTTGCTTTCATTTTCCTGTTTGAAGTACACCTTGATGAACTGTTTGTGCCTTTGTGTGTTTTCCAGAGCCAAGTCAGTGTGCTCCATGAGCGACTTCCAGCGGTTGATGGACAGCTCGCCGTTTCTCCCCGACAAGACTCGCCACGATGATCTGGGCCAAGACGACGTGACCCCTCCTCTGTCTCCGGACGACCTCAAGTACATCGAGGAGTTCAACAATAAGGGCTGGGACTTCCCATCATCTGCGTCCGGCTCGAATCCTGCCCTGGAGGAGTGGACAGACAAACCTCCAGCCTCCTGGTTTCTCACCACCAGCGCCACCCTGACCACCAGCGACCCCGAGCACTGCCTAAAGTCCCCGCTGAGGGGCACCGGGGGGGGGGCTGCAGGGCTGGGAGTGGAGCACTACGACGTGTTGCTCCACAGCCCCACCCGAGCGGGGGCAGCTGAAGACCCAGACTTCCTGTACGCCAAAGGGACCAAAGCCAGGGGCGGAGGGGAGGAAGGTGGGGCGGCCAGCGGGCCGGACGAGGTGTTCAGCGGGGGGAGGTGGACATGTGGGCTCCTGGAGGGAGGGGGGTTGAGGACTTCTCCTAGTCAGCCTCCTATCTGCCCCACTGTGGGCTACACTTCCTCTCTGGAGCTGCAGTTATCGAGGAACATGAGTGACGACATGAAGGAGGTGGCGATCTCCGTCAGGAACGCTATCCGATCCCCGCCCGGGCCCGTGGTGCGAGACACCGCCTGCCAGACCAATGGACTCAGCACCCGAGCCACGCAGACCACCCAGACCATCAGCGTGGGTCTGCAGACGGACCTTCTGAGGACCCTGACCAGCAGCCCTCACCGCTGCCTCACCCCTAAAGGAGGAGGCACGCCGATCTCCTCGCCGTCGCGCAACACCAGGAAGATCCAGTACTCTCCAGTGGTCCAGAGTAAGTTTGAGCGTCCGTGCTGCTCGCCAAAGTACGGCTCGCCAAAGCTCCAGAGGAAACCGTCCATCACCAACAACAAGGCCGATCTGCCCAGCAACAAAGCCCCGACCCCTACCACGCCGCAGAAGAGCAGCAACGAGTCTGCGTGGGCTCGCTCCACCACGACCCGCGACAGCCCCGTCCACACCACCATCAACGACGGCCTCTCCAGCCTCTTCAACATCATCGACCACACACACGTTGCCTACGAGCCCATGCCCAAGTTCAACAAATCCCCCAGTCGCTCTCGCCCAATCACAGAGTCCAGTCCAGTTCAGGGGGCCATCGCAGTGGACCCCAGGAACGAGTGTTTACGGATTGTCCGAGGTCGCTCTCCAAGCCCAGTGCAGCTGATACTGGAGAACGTAGAGGGGGGGAGCATACGGCAGGATCTGTCCGCCCCGCCGGGATACACGCTGGCTGAAAACACGGCCCGCATCCTCAACAAGAAGCTGCAGGAGCAAGGACTCAGAGACGAGAGGAGGCTTCAGACGGGGGGGGCAGAGCGGCAGCAGGCAGGCGGACTCTGACAGAGGACAGTCCGGATGTATGGAGGTAAATATACAGGCAAACCGGATCCATCGCTTCTTCACTCATTTGATCTGGGGTCCTTGTTTTATGACGCAAAAATACCTATGACTTGTGGATTGAAGATAAACTTTAAAGCATCAGAGAGAAAGCTGAAGTTGTAATTTGACTAAAATGTTGTTTTTTCTCAGATCGAAAGCACTGACTGATGCAATGGTAATGTCAAAATATTTGACCCTCTTCAAAAATACTGGCTGTACACTCTTTAAGGTTTCTTCTTCTTCTTCTTCTGTACTTTCTTCTGCACTGTCGTGTCTTTCTTGCTTTTATTTCTGTATATTTAACTTTCAGTGAGGCCCGACCGAAACCTGATTTATGCGTCTGATGATTGGAGAAGTGAAATGATCCATCAGTAATGATCTGAGTGAGGTCATAGCTACAGAGTTAATCCTTATCAGAAACTCTCCAATTAAATGTTTTTCAGTGGTTCTTGAGCTCCTCTGTACCAAATGAACCAAAGAAAAGCGGTAATTTCACTCCTTAAGATCAGCGCTCTGACACATCGGTTGGGCCATTTTCACCACCCATTCAGCTGACCTGTGGGAAAAATAAAAGACGGACAGAAAACCATCTTTCTGGTCATGGTTGAATGATGAAACAGATAAAGAAAAGTGCTTTTAGTTTACTGTTTGTACTGGCACACCTCTATAGACAGATTACAATTCTGAAAAGTAGGTTTAAACTGTATTAAATCTCTACATTAAAATAATGTACCAAAGTCTAACTGTACATATAAACCCATAACATTAACAGTGAGCAACATAATCCCACATATGGTGGTTAATATGTCCACTAACATGCAGGATTGACCAGCTGCTGCTCACTGCAGAACAGACTAGATTACGTCTGATATGTGATTTTATAGTAATATACGACTGGATTTAGATCATGTATTACTGTTTCTATGTGCCTCAAAATAGATCAATACACACAGTCGGGGTATAATATATCTTTAAAGAGGCCTATTCAAACTATTTTAAAGGTCAACCAGTAACCCGAACCCAATGTTGGAATAGTCGTGAAACAACTTACTGGAAAAGTTAGTTCACTGTCGGTTTTAGCTGATCCAGTTTATTAAGACTTTAATGGCGCTTTTCCACTGCAGGGCCTCGCTCGGCTTAGTACGGTATGGCTAGGCCTCGTTAGGCCTTGTTAGGCCAGGCTCACTTCATGCTGCGTTTCCATTACAGTTTAGGAACTGGGGCAGTAACTATATTAACGCAGTGTAGGCGGAGCCGTGACGTCATCTTCAATGCGAAACACAAAACCAACATCAGCCGTTAGCTGTTAGCACTCAGAGCTCACAGCTCCTCATATCTGTTCAGAAACTAGACAAAAGTTAAACAAGTACACACCACAGACTGCCTGTGTCATGGCGAATACAGTCGCTGCTTTATTTATGTCTGTAGGCCGTTGTTGTGAGTGTGGACGGTCGGAGCATATACAACGTTAGCTTAGCCAATCTCCATTCAGAAAACACGCATTTTAAAAGGTTTCTCGCCTGCCGTCTGTCTGCAGACTTGTCAAAGCATTAATTCATGGTTTTTACTAACCGGTATCAGTATGTTGTTACTTCGGCATCATTTTGAAACGTGTATTACAATTAAATCACGGTCAAATATGTTCATTTTGTTGTAGTTGCCAGCGATTCTCTCACTAGTTTAGCATACTCAGCCCGGTTGTTGGCCCGCAAAGAACCTCGATTATGGAGAGCCAGAAAACTGTGAAAAAGTACCCGCTAGCCGGAACTACGCCTCGTGGAAACGCAACCAAAAACGGGCCGGGCACGGCACGCTTAAACCGCACTCCGCGCTGTAGTGGAAATGCGCCATAAATGTGTTGTCCTATAAAATGTCAGACAACAGTGGAAGGAGCTATCATAGTCCTGTAGAGGTCAATAGGACGTCTGTTTTGCTCAGAGTTTGACTGAATGATTAATCAATACCGGTCAAATCAAGTTACTGATATGCAACAGTGCCTTTATATTGTCATATCACCTGACCTTAGTTCATTTGTAGATAATGTCATTTATTTCAAACACTATCAGACTGTCCTGTGTGTATCTAAATCAAGGTCCCAGTTTTTTTCCAGGTCTAAAGTGAATGGGTGTGTGTGTTAACTTTTCCAAACTGAGATTCTTTATACACTGTATCTTCTGGTTTGATATGTCTCACGATTTGACAAATTAACATATCCCGCTCTATCTCCCCCCCCTCCCCCCTCTCTCCTCCCCTCTGGGCTTTATCTCCCCCCTCCTCCTCCCCCCTGTGCTCTGATCCAGAACCACACTGTCATACTAACAACTCCTTGGGGACTCTAACTCTGCTTGTCTCCGTGATGTAAGTTCCTCCTCCTCCTCCTCCTCCTCTTCCTCCACGAACCTTTGGCAGTGGGTCCACCAGCCAAACGGACCTCTCACCTCCCGCCGTGCAGACCCCACCCTCCTCCTCCTCCTCACCCTCTTCATTAATGCATGCTTCACAGGACGGCAGAGTGACAGTGTGTGAAGCCATCGGAGTGTCATCTGTTTCTTCGTGTTAATGCTCGCATGCTCACTTTCTTTGTTGCAGATCATTTGTTTGTATTATTTAAAGGACCATAGTGGTGTTTTTTGCATGTTTTAGTCCATTAACCACATTAATCACATCTGCTGTTACATAGTGCCATACCATACATTTAAAATGATTAGGTTTTAACACCAGTAAGGTTTGAAAATCTATTTTAGGAGACTTAAACAGCATTAGTGTGTGATGACGGGGTTATTCTGATGATCCTAGGCTCCTTTATATGAGATGGTTCAAATCCATTCATTCCCTGTGGATAGATCAATGTCTAAAGTCTTCCATTTTTGTAAAGCACTTTGAATTACCTTGTGTTGAAAGGTGCTATATAAATAAACTTGCCTTGCCTTGCCTAAAGAAAACTGCACATTTGAGGATCTAGCTTTTAAAGAGTGTAAATTTAAGTAGGCTTAAAGCTGTTGGTGATTTTTTGCAACATGTTTACTCACAAACATGCCCAAAAAGTCGTTTAGAACGCAACAATGAAAAAATGTGTCACGTTGAACCCATAAGGACCCACCGTGACACGGGGGTCACATGAACTTTAAACGTTCTGGAAAGTTCCTTATACAGCTTTAGCCTTTATTTTATCTCATGAAGTGCCTCAGTGACACACCCTGAACAGTCTGGGTGGGTCATGGTCCAAGACATTTGATTTTGTGTTCCCATGACAACATGTCCAAGATGTCCATGTGCCAGACTAACACATGTGACAGAACGAGCTACATTTAAAAAAGCTTTTTTGTTTGTTGCTAAAGGTAAAATTCAAGCCATTTAAGAATTAAAATGCGTACATAACATGTCCTTTATTACATTTAACCTGTTGTGGAAACATTTATTGATCAAATTGATATGAAACAAATGAGATAAATATCGCTGGTGTCACATCGGGACTTTAACCTTAAACTTTCACAGTAAACCCAAAGTGACATATATGCACAATTAGAAATATTATTATGATCTGCTCAGTTAATTTAGCTGATTCAATTATATTGAGTTGATATGTTCTTATTCTTCAATTAAAAGAATGTTCAAACTAATTTAAACCAAAAAATCATCCTCATTAGTGAAGTTAAAAATAAGAGTTATTTTACCATTAAAGCCCAATGTGACATATATGCTACATTTCAGATATTTGACACTAGGGGCGGTTTCTTGTCAGAAATGTGTTCTAGGTGGTCTATTTAGTCTAAATTATGTTCCCCTTAATTTCCCCAAAAGTAGAAATGGGTCCGGGTTCTTATGGGTTAAAACTGGGAACATGTCTGCTCCTTTAATGACAACATTACTTTGACTAAAACTGAAGCATTCACTGTAATAGGGTTTGCATTTGAAGCAGTTTCAGCAAGTTGATTGTCATACCAAACAGAGAAGAGATGTATTGAATGTGGCTGTAATGCAGACATTTTAATGATGTGACTTTAATTGGATAGATCCTGCAAAAAAGTCGGTATGGTCCTTTAAAGCAAACTCAGTCCATGTGAGTCGAGAAGAGACTCTTTAGGACGTTTCTCTGGAGGCCCTGTACGACAGTTATCTGGTTGTTACTCTAACATTGTGTTTCTATCAGGACACAGGATGGACTGTCAGGTTTTCTCTCAATGTTTTTTCTTTCTTCACCCTTTTTTGTCCATACAGTGTTTTTCTTTTCTCTTCCCTCTTACAGTTCCTGCTAGTCATTTCCTCTCACACTAACAAGTCCTGCAAAGATTATCCGAAGAAGACTGCTGCTACTACTCATCTCTTTCTATACCGTGTGATGCTTGGTGGACATTAACTGCTTGTTATGGTCCATTCTGCATGCTTAAAGGGAAAATCCACAATCAGAGACTCTTACACTGCTATACAACATGATATCAGTCTGTCAGTGCATATTTAAGATGAGTTAGTTTCCTAAAGCTCCGTTACTGGAATATAACATTGATGCCTACATTCTTTTTCTGTTCAGAAGTTTGCGTTGATAGACTCTTTCTGTACAAAAACAAGTAAAAAACGTTTACTATTTTCCCACGCTAAACGAACCCTGCAAGAGTCACCAGGATGACCGAGTGGTTAAGGCGTTGGACTTAAGATCCAATGGGCATATGCCCTCGTGGGTTCGAACCCCACTCCTGGTATCTTTAAGTGAACTATTAATGAACAGGCTAATTGCGAGAACTTGTAAAATCACTAAATACCGTGGAGAGATCCATGCAAAATACATGTGCGGAGTTATTACTGCTACAGAGTGGAGTCATATTAACTTGGATGGTGTAACATAGCTAATGTAATAGCTTTCTCCATGCTGGATTCTCTCAAATGTCAGCTAATAAGAAGCTTTCTGATTGTAGTGGTAGCGCCACAATTCATTTGCAACTGCTTTAATGTTGTTGCGATGAACTCTACTCTACTATTAGGGGACATGGTAGGTGTTAGAGCAAAGCAAAAACAAGTTGGCTTAACACATATCAATTAAGGGAAGGGCAGAAGCATAACAACTGGAGAAAGCTATTACATTAGCTGTTTTACACCGTCCAAGTAAATATGACTCCACTCTGCTGCAGCATGGATCCCTCCCGACTCTGACAGGGTATTTAGTCTTTTTTTTAAGTTCTTGCAACTAGCCATCATTTACTGTATTTGAGTAATGAGTCTTATGCTTCTAGTTGACTTAAAGTTACCAGGAGTGGGGTTCGAACCCACGAGGGCATATGCCCATTGGATCTTAAGTCCAACGCCTTAACCACTCGGCCATCCTGGTGACTCTTGTGGCTTAACTTTAGCTACAGCACCTTGATCTAATCAGTTAAATCACTAAAATCACTACAATCAGTTACATGAAGTGCAGAGTGGGGTATATCAAAAGTACATTTATAAAACATGATCAGGACGTTTGGCTGAACAGATTTCTATTTACTGCCTGAGACAAATTGTATTTCTTAAAACGTTTTACTTGATCAAAGGAAGCTTTGTCATCTGTTGTCAAAGACCAACAGTGTCTAATGTTAATCCTGATGTTTTATACAAGACATCATTTTTTTTTTTAACAGTGTCGTAGTGTTTTACGGTGGATTTCCCCTTTAAAGTTGATCATTGACAGAGAAGTTGATGTGAAGCAGCAGCCTCTCCTGTGCACTGACTTCCTGTTCACTGGTGCATGATCTGTGGTCTGATCTGATGTTTTAGCATCGCATAGTAAATCTTCTATTAACCCACCAGCCGCTCATTAAACGACTACTCGCCTGTGTTTCCGGTGTGTGTGTACACAATCCATCCGTTCATGAACAAATTATTTATTGATGGAGACGCCGCACATCCGTCTCGCAGTTTGTGTAGCACGTCATTTTCTTCTGGGAATATCTTTTCATCCATCTGACTTTCTTCAGTTCATCCTGCCATCGCCATCATCGTGTCATTTCGCAGAGTTGCTTTGCGGGGTCAACGTCTCCTATCCTTCACCCCAAAATCTAACGCCTGGACAAGATCTATTTATAAATCAGACCAGTGGCGTTACCATTCACCCAATCACACTCTGACATCATTCTGACGGGGGAGAAAAACTCACCCACAGCCGCTTGTCTCTCATCTCTTCGTCCTACTTTTTCTCACTTTTTCTGTTTTCATCCAGGACACAGATGTATTGCAGTCTCTTATTTCATCATCATGTTTACCACAGCAGAAATATGCATACATCATTCTAAACCCATTTGTTTGCATTATTCTGTGTCAAACACATCCATCATCGTGACACAAATCGATTTTAAACACACAAACCAGGACAGTTGAACCTCTATGTGACTCCAGCTGTGTCCTCTCACAGCCTGGTCTCCTCTAAAAGACATGTCCATACATTGATACTGCATTGTTAAATCAGTATCGAGCTAAACGTATTTTCTTCCCAGATAAGTTTGTTTTTGACCTATCTCTGTGCATTTCTTTGATTATAGTGTAAGACTATTTTATAAACTGTTCTACTAATTTAAAGTTATGCTTTTAAAAAGAGCGGTACTGATTGCTTAAGAAAAACAAGACATCCTTATAAAATGACACTCCCTCTTAGACATCATTCTTGTTTTTGACACATTATTCAGTCATATTTTGTTTCAAGTTTGTTTAAACATATGTCATACAGTACGTCTGCCCTCTGCTCCACTTTATTTATTAGCTAGTAAGCGAGTAAAGCCTACAGGTGTACTCTATAAACTGATCCACTTACTTCAAATGATGCTTATAAAAACAAAATAATTCCTGAGAAAAACAAAAAATCCTTATAAAATGTAATATAATATCTAAATATAAAACGTCCTCCTTGACATACTTCCTCGGTCTCCCTGCTCATTCCCTTTCATTTAATTTCAAATCTCTCCACTTCCTGTTTCACCTCGTTGCTGCCCCCTCCTCACTGACAGCTGCTTCTCATTGGCAGGACCTTCCTCGCTCTCCAGTGGCTCCTCCTCTGGACTCCTGCTTCCTGAGACCGGCCCGTCCAGCTAACCGCCGCCCCCCCTCCCGGTGGGCCGCCCGCTCCCCCTCCCCGAAGTGGAGCGAGGGCACCAAGAGGAGGTTCACCTTCCCGCCGCCGGGACACCGCAAACCCATCCTGGAGGGCGAGGAGCCAGCGTGAGGCCGTGCTCGACCTCCTCTCCTCCACCGCAGCCTCAAAGACCCAGTACCTCAGAAACCCCCCCACCCCCCCCTCAACCCTACAGACTCCCCAGAGACGGAGCCTGAAGGGGGGGTAGGGATCCACCCTGTAGCACCAGCTGACCATCGAGGAACCAGAACTTCTTTTTTTTTAAGAAGAACCTGGAATGTACTGTAATATCATAAAAAAAAAGATTTACATTTTCCATAAAAGGTGCCTGCACACTTGAGTTAAACATCGCCCCACATGTGTGTTCATGTGTTTAAAACATATATGTATATTTTAGTCACAATTCTGACTTTTCCAGGTGAAAACTAGGTCAACCGATGCATTTGTATGAATTTTACGCAAATGTGTTGCATCTGTTTACAAATGTTCCGGGTTTTTTTTTACGTTGTCCTGCATCCAGTCAATATCGATTTTCTTTTCAATGAGAACACACCTTTTGTTTCTTGATTTCCAGCCTTTAAAGCTTGACTTTCTGTTTTATTTCAAGAGGAGGAAAGACAACACAAGCAAACAAACTTCTGCTTCATCGGGTCTGAAGCAGAGACACATGATGTCATTTCTGATGTATTTCTTTCTTTTTTGGGGATGAATGTTTCACTCTGGTAACGCGTAGAAAAAGGGTGACAACAAACTGAATAACCTTATGCATATTGAAAGGCAGTTGTTCGAATATCAGTCAAATATCTGCATGCCTTTTGAACACTAGCACTTTAGTGCATGTACATACGAGCTCTATAGTCATTTGTGATCACTCGGTTGTGACGGAAACTCCGACCGAGCTGTTGTTTTTGTTGTCACATGATTTGCAAAACAAGAAGAATTTTTAAGTGAATTATTGTACCTACAGGCTGTCTTTGTACAGTTGTTACTATTGAATATGAATTACTTTTTCTTTTGTCAAGAAAAATGAGATTGTGGGGATAAAATATGAATGTTTTAAATGAAAATCTATGTCAGAAAAGTCTAACGAGCTATAGTCTTATGTAAATACTAAATGGAAATAAACATGAATGTGTATTTACAATATCTCCTCATCTGTGTGTGTTTTTGCATCTACTGTATATCTCCTTATGAAACAGGTTAGATATACAGCTCATGATAGAGTGTACGCTCTTTCATTAGACCTGAGTCTGCGTTCTTGGCAGAGACTGATGGATCAGTGTGTGTGTGTGTGTGTGTGTGTGTGTGTGTGTGTGTGTGTGTGTGTGTGTGTGTGTGTGTGTGTGTGTGTGTGTGTGTGTGTGTGTGTGTGTGTGTGTGTGTGTGGTGTGGATTACAGTGCAGACCACAGGATTACAGTGGGTCAGGAGGGACAGACTCACACACACACACACACACACAGCGAATGTGAATAAGAAGATTGTGTCCTCCCAGAAGTGAAATCCTGTTGCATCATGGTCCTACATGTGTCACCTTACTGATGATACTCAGCTTGTCACGCAAGATAAAAACCAGTAACATGCATTTACACTGAATTATTTAAACATGACCTTAGTGAGGCGTATTGCTTTTTATTTCAAAATACAGGTACCTTCTAGCAACAGATCCTTTTTCCCTCCAGACATTTTGCAGTAGAAAAAGTGTTACTGTAACATTAACAATGTCTATGTTCAATTAAATTGTCCTAATTATCCAGCATACTATATCTAACATAAACTAAATGGAAAACTGGCATCATTGATTTCATTATTTACAGATAGAGAGATAAAAAGGGACCATGCATGTGTCTTCAAAGGAGGAGTTTTTTTTATCTATAACCTCAGGGGGTAATGTTTTGTTATGTTTAAGTAATTCAAACTCTTTTGAAGCTGTGAACTGGCAATAATCTAGCAATATGATACCACATGCTTTCAATTAGAGAAAGAAAAGCCTATGTATGTCTGGGAGGCGTGTGGCGTAGTGGGTTGTCCGTAGGTGTTCGGATCAGGGGGTAACAGGTTCAAACCCCACTGCAGTCAGCATGTCGTTGTGTCCCTGGGCAAGACACTTCCCTGCAAAAATGCTCCTGTGGGGATTGCCCACAGTATTGAGTATGTAAGTCGCTTTGGATAAAAGCATCTAACAAGTAACATGTAATGTAATGTATGTGTTTCAACTGAGTCCAAAAGATGGACATATCAACCAATCTAAATGGCGATATACCACTATCGGTAAATGAAAGTAAATCTGATGAATGACATTTGAGGTGCATGATATTGTGCTTTTTGCTTCCAGCTAATAGAGACAAATATCACAATCTTGCTTTGCTCCTTTTTAGCTTCTCATGTCTAAGTAGAAAATACTACACAAGACTGAAATCTGTACATTTCAACTGATGTCTTTCATTAGAGAACTTAAAGCTGTTATTGGCTCTAAAGGGAGGGAAAGCAGTGAAGAGAGTGATAAAGAGGCAGAGTGCTGGAGGCCTGCGTATACCTTTCGCAGAGTTATAATGATGAATAATTAATGCACCAACTGCACTCTGGGAGCTGCTGATGGCACCCAGCAGGTCAGCGGAGAGGGAGGAAGACGAGGATGCTCTGCTTTTACTTCCATCCGCCGGAGAGGAACCCACCGCTGCTGAATTATTTATCCCTGAAGTCCCTCCACACACTCTCACATGCTACTCTCTCTAAACACTGGACGCTGCTTTAATGTGAGATGTGGGCTGCAGCAGGAAGGGCGTGACCTCGAATACTGTAGCAGCCCTGAACCAAGGATGGAGAAGGACAAGTCTTAAACCACTTTAAATTTAAATCTGTGGCATTTTCAGAGGTTGACGTTTCTGTAGGTGGCACTACAACCTCTGCAGCTTATGAAAAACATTTTAGCCTTTGAGTTCCTGGAACAGTTAGAAGCTGAATGTGTCTATAAGTTTGGATTTTTTGTTGGTAATCTTTTGTTTTGGAAAATAAGGATGCGAATATTTTTCATTTTCTTGAAGTCAAAAATCCCATAAAAGGACCAAAAGGAACAATAGTCTTTTCATCGATACGTTTAAGCTTTGCTGTTTTTTGTGATCCTGAATACGTACATTTTGTCACAAATATGAAGTAGTTATTTTTTTCAAGGCTCAATAATTTCCTAACAGTCATTTCGATTTACTTAAACAGCTCAATGATGTATTTGGTGCTTTAGTGAGTATTTACAGAACCACGGTTGTATGTATGTGCGCCAAACTAAAAACTACATTTTCCATTTGCATTGTAATGGGATACACAGCAATATAATTTAAAAGGCTTTGGATACACAGAAAGTTTGATTCACAATCAGAAAAAGACTGAATATCTGCAGAAGTATCCCTAATTACCTTATTTTTGTGTGCTTGTAATGAGATACAATTTCCAAATGGGAATATTATATACATGACTGTAAACATCCTAAATGTTGTCTTAACAATATTTTTATATAAACATTTTAAAATTGTATCTGTGATTTATGGATGGCTAGGAGGAAGGAGTTAAATGAAAAACTGCTTCTAATTTCAGAATGACCTGTTTAAGACTTACTATAGTCCAGCGTTTCTCAAAGTGTGGGGCGCGCCCCACTGGTGGGGCGCAGAGATGTGATAGGTGGGTCGCGAATGGACGTGATGAACGGGAGATTTAAAAAAAAAATGTTTTTTTAATTAATTATTTGGACCTCAGGCCGGAATCGAACCTGGGTCCTCGCGGGCGGTAGTGGACTGTTACAGCCGGAGACTCGCAACGGCTGTGGACTTTCACAGCGCCGCTGCGCCGGACCCGCCGGTACCGGCGCAGCGGAGCTGTGAAAGTCCACGGCCCACCTATGCCAGAGCCAGCGGCCCACCGAAGGCAGCAGCCCACCGGGAAAAGTCCCGAATCTCCCGATGGCCAATCCGAGCCTGCTCACACACACACAACTGAAACCAAAATAATTTACAGACATATGTAAAAATCTCTCATACACACATGTGAATCGCTCTCACACACACACACAACAGCGCTGCAGTCAGGAAGAAAAGCAATGTGGAGCGGCACCTCACCACTTCATAAGGAGTTTAACCGTGACAATCCCGTTTGTGTCCCCCCACTTTAAAAATAGGTCTATGTTTAGAGAGAGAGAGAGAGAGAGACAGAGAGAGAGAGAGCACACCTTTATCTATTTAATATAGCCTGGTTGTAAAAAATAAAGTAAGAAATCATTCCAATGTGTACTATAGGACAGTAAAAAATAAAAACAACAGTTTAAAGGGGAGTGATTAGTAAAATATGCATACATAGAAAGAAAGAATGCTAACTAGGTAACATAAGATAAGAATAAACCAGTTTAAATGATTTGTTATTGGTTGTGATCATATTCTAAAGATGTTTGGATTATTGAAAAGTCTACAGCTCCCTTTCATCTGAGTGTTAAGAGCTGTATCCATCAATTCATGTTGTGCTCAAAGTGCTCCAGATTGATGCATTTCACTTCAACATTTAAAAAAACATCTTCACGGGGTTGCATGCCCCCGGACCCCCCTAGAGGAGGTGAGGACCCCCCTAGTGGAGGGGAGGTCCACCCCCAAATAAAGCAGGTTAAAATAATTAAATTGAATGCATGTTCTTTTAGTAAACACTGCAAACGGGTCCCACAGACCCAAACAGCACACAAAGGTTAAAGGTCAGCATATCATCATGTTAAAATGTGCTAAATATATACACTGCAAAAAAACAAAAAAAGAGGAGTAAAAGTAGCTCACGACTTGTTTTATTTTTTGAAAGTAGCCCTCACCCTAAAAGGTTGGAGACCCCTGCTATAGAACGATACATTTGACAATTTTAAGCTTGGCCTACCATTTTATTGGAGCGATGAGGAACAGGTGGGGCTTGAAAAGGCCCACCTGTTCAAAGTGGGGAATGACAGAAAAAGTTTGAGAACCACTGCTATAGTCTGACTCCATGCATGATTTAAAGTTATTTAAAATACGCTGCTATAATTAATGATAAGAAACTAAAGACTAAAACAAAACTCTGAAAGGGCGCATGGCTAAAGCTACTTTGACCTCTCATTGGTCAGTGTGAGCTCTGGCCCCGCCCACCAACATGTCTCGTGTTTGCGCAGAAACAGCTGAGCACGTTCAGTTTCTGCATCTGTTTACTCACATAATACGTATGTTGTATATCGGAATCGGCGACTTGCAGATGTATCTGAAAGGTAAGTTATGTGTTAGCCTGTTAGCTAGTAACTGGCAGTGGCTAACATGTGTCTGTTGTTTATGTTTGTTAGCCTGTTAGCTAATAACTGGCACTGGCAGACATGTGTATTTTGTTTATGTTTGTTAGCTTGTGACTGGCAATGGATGACACAGTGGTCATATTTTGGGAGATGTGGAAGGAAGCTTCAGGGTTTGGTTTACATCCCAAAAAAGCACACACTACCATGTTTGCTCTCAAAACTTTCACTCTGTACTGATGAGTCTGGTTTATCATCTGATGTCTGATCGCCCCATAGTTGACCCACACAACTTTACAAAGTCACCTGATCCAATTAACTGATAAGAACAAATTAATTATGCATCAGAAAGACAACTGGATGTTTGTTAATGACAAATATCTGCCGATCCAAAGTGACCATTGTGTCTTTGACAGGAGGACAAACCAGGTATCTAAAAGAAAGTAAGTCACATAGTTTTGTAATAATACTTTCAGAGCTGTGAAACTTTCTTATTCATCTCTACCTTTTCAGCTTTGAGTCCTATGGAGCCAACAGTTTAAAATCCAAAACTGCTGATCCATGTATAAATCAAAACTGCAGGACACAAAATGACATTTTTATTGGAGGAAGAAACTCCAACAGAATAATTATTATGAATCAGTTTTCTCCTGGCCAAACGATGGTGACAACTACCTGAGATGAGTATTTGATGCATACTGAGTTTAACATTGAGTGCATAACTTCCCTCAGTATTAAACTAACTCCTTAAACAAGATCAGTTTGAATATTTGCTCTGACATTTGGCTGTGATTGAAAAAGATAAGAAGAGCTTTGTTTTCATCTCCGGCTGCGATGACTAATGCAGCGGAGGCTGTCTGGGTGTCTCT